AGGGGGAGTTGTTCTGCTGCACAACACCTGTAGGGACATTGATTCTGCAATCTGTCCTTCTGGGCAGGAGGACATTTAAAGGGCATTTGAAGGATGGAGGATTAAACCCCCCTCTTAACACGCAGGGGGAAGGGGTCTCGTTCACTTACAGCCCAACCCTTTGCATGTTTTCTCCAGAAGGAAATCCCACCATGTTCAATTATGCTTACTTCCAAGTAAGAGTACAGTGGTACCTCTGGTTGCGAACGGGATCCGTTCTGGAGGCCCGTTCGCAACATGAAAAGAGTGCAAACTGCAGCGGCGTGTCTGCACACACACGGGTTGCGATTCGCCGCTTCTGCGCATGCGCATTATGTCATTTCTTTGCACTTCTGCGCATGCACAAGCAGCGAAACCCAGAAGTAACCCTTTCTGGTATTTCCGGGTCGCTGCAGGATGTAACCTGAAAGAACGTAACATGAAGCAAAGGTCACATGAGGTATGACTGTACAGTGGTACCTCGGGATGCAAACGGGATCCGTTCCGGAGCCCCGTCTGCATCTTGAATGGAATGTAAGACGCGATGGTGTGTCTGGGGGTTGCGTTTTGCCGCTTCCGCGCATGCACGTGATGTCATTTTGAGCGTCTGCGCATGCGCAAAGTGCAACCCGGAAGCGCTCAACCTGAAGCACATTCAACCCGAGGTATGACTGTACTGTACATAGAATTGGAACTCATGCTTCCCTTGCTGGCACACTCTTCTTTAAAACCCACATTACAGACACACTTAATTGTTGTGGTTGCAAGCTGCAGCAAGCAGGCAAGTGTCTGGTTATTTGGACGTCATAAAAGTAATTTCAGACTTTCCATTGTAAAATCTGGGCATAGGATAGCTGGAGGGTGAAGATGTCATTAGTAAATACGTACTTTTACCTAGGCACACATATGCGTTTTGTGTTAATTACGTTAATCCTCTCAATCTGTTCTTCAGGATTTTAATCAGGTAGGTCCTGGCTCCTAGGTCTTAGCCAAAGTGTTTAGTGTGAACTTGTGCACAGATACCTGAGCATAGCTTCTGGGCATGTAGCTTTAATTTTAAACATTATGCACCTCCAGTGTATCAGTTCTCTTACTCTTCTGATGAAGGTTGCAACTCCTAGCTCATTCAATTAATTGATGGCATCTTACCATGAATATGGAACAATTCCCCCCCCCCCTTTTCCTGCCCCATGGGACTATAAAATGAGTTTATCTAACTCAAGGATAATAAACTCTGCCTCCTATTTCCCGAGGTTTATTGATAGTATATAAAGACCTGTAGCTAGTTATTTGACAAGTTATTGCTAGTCGGTAAGCGATCTGTTTACTATTATATTTATTAAGAAAATGTATATCCCTCCCACCCTTCCAAAGGATTTGCATTGCTCAGGGTGGCTTATAACGGTAACACCAAGCAATGGTACAAGGCAGGCATCGGCAAACTCGGCCCTCCAGATGTTTTGGGACTACATCTCCCAACATCCCTAGCTAACAGGACCAATGGTCAGGGATGATGGGAGTTGTAGTCCCAAAACGTCTGGAGGGCCGAGTTTGCCTATGCCTAGTATAAAGGAACAACAAAATGAGAGAGAGAGATATAAATGAGGTCCTGCTACATAAATGCAATGAAACTAGCAGGTTAAATGCCCTTTGGAATACATTTTTGACCAGATTACAAGAAAAAGTGAAAGCAGGGGTAGATGGATTTCATGAGGTAAGATGTTCCATAAAATATAAGATGTTCTATAATCTGGCCACAGAGGAGGCCTTTTCTCACAGCTTCTCACTTCTGCCTCTGCCTGTGTTCAAATGTCTAATTAGACTGTTCTCTTTCCTAGTTTTTCTCCCCATTCCTCCAGTTTTCTTAGCTAATGCTGCTGCTGCTTCCCTGTCCTTTTCTAGACACTTCTGTCTGTTGTGCCTGTCTCTAGAACAGGGATGGAGAACTTGTGGCCCTGCTGATGTTGTTGGACTCCAACTCCCAGAAGCCCCAGCCATCATGGCCAGGGATGATGGGAGTTGTAGCCAGCAACATATGTTCTCCATCCCTACTGTAGAAAAAAATGACTCCTCTACCTGCCCACCCCTTCTTCTGTGACAGTTGGGCAGCTCCGTCAAAAACTTTGAGGCTTCTACTTAGATTTTTGTCATAGACATGGTCAATGTTGTTTATCTGCAGTAGTGATTACAGAACTATGCATTGGAAAGAAGCCACTGACTTCACTAACACAAGAATGCTGCTGATTATGGTTTAGGTAACATGGCAGATGTAACCACTGTCTGGAATGAAATTTGTGAACAAGTCCTGAACATGTTAAGACTTCTGAATCGTTACTCAATTAGAAAAGCAAGTGAGAAGACGGTATTTGACACAGACTTAAGGTTAATCACCAGCCAACCACAGTTCTTAAGAAAAGAAGGTTGTTGAATCTCTATGAATTTTTTCAGCTTCCAAGCTAATCTCGACACTAAAATGGTGAACATCTGGAGACTTAGCTTTATATTAGCTGGCTTTGTTAGTCTTAAACATGAAAATCAATGCTTTGACTCGCTGTTGGCTCCTTTTGCCTTTTCACCTACTTTTGCATAGCTGCTAAGAGTTGCAAAATGTCAACACACACACTCGTTACAAATCTCTCCCTTAGGGTTCAAAATGTAAGGTTAAAATAGTAGGCACTGTGGGGTCTTACATAATCAAGACACTTGTTTTCAAAAGCTAAATGTGGAACAGAATAGGAGTTGGCAGAGTCTCCTTCAAACAGTATATAAATCAGCCGGGTTCAGTGATGGATCTAAAGGTTCTTCGTACTTCAAAGTAAGTTTGTGCAAAATGACACTGCTTCAGGAGTGCAGATTCAATCCTCGTGCTGATATTTCTGTGTTGGTTTTGAAGATGCATAGACATTGAAATATATTTACTTTCTCTTAAGATAGTAACTAATGTAACTAGGTACAATAGAATCACCTTATTTGGATATTTTGGGCCAGGTTCGGTTGAATGCATGAGGTCAGGAAGTGCTTACAAAACCTTTTCTTGATCAGGTCCCTGTGTCTGTACACTCCTCTCATAATAAGCAACTGTAGGAGCAGAAATATCCACCGTATTATGTAAGATTTGTTTGTCATAACACACTTGACTCATTGTTTTGGAGAATTTATGGCTATAGTGGTGTCATTCTAATAGGTTTTGGCGATTGTTTGTAAACACTGCAAAAAAAAAAAAGCTAAATTGTATGGATTAATCACATTTGTTAGACAGTTCTGACAAATGCTTTATGCTTTGGACTTGTTTATGGAGAGTGAATATTGTCCAGAAAAAGGTTACACAGAATTTATTTTTGAATTAGGGTTTGCATTCAAGCTTACTTGTAAATACCAGCTTTTTACTTCCTTCTTAATGTGGGTCTATAATTTTAGGTGATGTGCATCTTGGCATAACTCAATGAATTCAGCAGGACTTTTATCCTTGCTTTATGTGGCTTTCAAATATTCTGCTGTATGCATAATCTGGAAAACATTAATGTTTAGTACAGTATATGAGTATTCTTTAAGCTGCACTTTGAAATTATATTTTACTCTCATCTGCCACACCATCTGCCTTCAATTTTCTTGGCTAATATAGGACACTGGAACTGTAGAAGGAAATTTTATTGTTGACCAGAAGTATGCCAGGTAGACACACTGAACATCTGCACAGATTTCAAGCTTCCTTTAAGAAAGGAGAGTGTTTCTTGACTGCTGCTCTGTATAGAGATAAGCTCAGAAGAAGAAGAAAAGCATGAAACCTGCAATTATGTTGAACATTGGCTCTTCTTAGCCTTGTGGGCAGTAGTGAGCCTATCAAAATACAGGCTTCTGTTGATTTGGGAGATCTTCTAGAAGTACAGCAGAAATAAGCAATGAAGATACTCATTAAGATTCAGAGCTGCAAAAACAAGTGATGGAGTATGTCAGTGGGTGCTTCACTGCTATCTTCTTTCTTTTTCTACAATTGTTTATGCAAAAGTGTCTGAACATGAAAGCGTGAGGAAGGACCCCGGGGATTCTGCTTGCAGCAAGGTCTGTGTCACTAATGAGTTTAGGATTTACATGAAAAATATTTTCTCTTTCCCTTCCAGTTGCTGCTAAGGGCAAGCTGTAAGTGCATGTGTTAGACCCTCCCCACTTACAAAATATAGACATCTGTATATAAAAATGATCAGATTTATATTTTGCCTTTTTCTGCCATTCCACCTTTAAAAACTGTTTTGTTCTTCCCATGGCAAAACAGTTCAGAGAGACATCTAATGTTGATAAGTCTATTAAAATAACCACATTGACTTAAGCAAATTGCCTTTCCAGGTGGAAATGTCTTACCTGTGGAAGACCTTCTGGCTTTGATGGGACTCCAGGGGAGAGGGAGTTGGTGTGGAGCAGGGGTTAGTGGGCTCAACTAGGAAGCTGCTTGGGGTGAGGAAGAGAAATGTGGAACCTAAGCTGAGCCAGAGTCAAAATCTCTGTACAGAACCCAAATGAACTGTCACCAACTCAACTGTGTGACGATTGCGTTGTTCTTAAAAAGCTGCTCTTGCGTACCTTGGCATGTGAAAATTAATGGCAACTGTGTACCGATTTTATTTAAGGTGATTGACAATGAACTGAATTGATTTCTAACTCTTCCAGCCCTACATGGAGATGCTGGGGATTGAAATTTGAGGCTTTCTCCATGCAAAGCAGATGCTGTACCAGTGAACTACTGCCCCTCCTTGATTCAGTGGGACTTACTCCTGTCTAAGTGTAGGATTGCAGTCTGAGACAAGTTGCCCATAAAATACATTGGTAGGGAAAATTAGAATGTTTTGTGGTGGGGTCTTTTCGCACAATAGCATTCTCAGTTGTTGTTTTTAAGTACAAATTCACCCTGTTTATCTGCTAAATATGAATGCTCTGGTTTCTGTTTCTGAAGACGGATCCATTGAGTTCCAGATCTATAGAATTCAGAATTGAGATAGCTCAGTCAGTAGAGCACGAGACTCTTAACCTCAGGGTTGTGGGTTCAAGCCACACATTGGGCAAAAGATTCCTGCATTGCAGGGGGTTGGACTAGATGACCCTCGTGGTCCCTTCCAACTCTACAATTCTATGGTTCTGTGATTAAAAAGGCATGAAGTTTAACTGAAGCAGTTCAGAACTGCAGGTTTAGAACTCCAAGTTTAGAGCAGGGAGTGTGCTTATTTCTGAGAATGCACCAGTCTTCTCTCATCCAGTAAGAGATCCCATCTGGCTCTCGGTGCCAAAATCTTGGGACTGAAGAAGACAGCAACACTTCAATTTCTTCATTAGCTGTAGAAGGGTCTCCATGGGGGGATACGACTTGAAATGAGTGATGGGTGACAGGTAGCCTATACCCCAGAGTTCTGCTTACTAATGGGAAAGTGAGAGGTGAGGAGGTGACTGTCCAAGAACAAGGAGGTTTGGAGCTCCAAAGATTTAAAATAAAAGTGGCAGAATTTGCCTGAGGGTGACTTTCATGCAGCACAGAGGATGAGTTAGCACTGTATTCAAATTCACTTAACACAAATGAGCTAGCTTTTTCTGTACTCTTGTATATTTTAAGTCCACAAAAGTTACTAACATGCAATGTTTTTACTAGCCTAAGAGATTAGCAGCCTGTGTTTTCTTGCTAGCCATGAGAAAGGGAAGACTTGGCAGTCTGGTTAAAACCCTGGGTTGTATCCTGTGAAGCCATCTTGTCTGCACAAGGACTTTGCTTGTGCAATGGAACTTCCTTTTAATCCCCAAGCTTCTGGGGCAGATTTGGGGAGTGCAGGAGGGAGGGGAAGGCTCTGTTGCACTTGTACGAATAGACACCTTCATTGGGAACAACCCTTTTGTCTTCTATCAAACAGGATGACAGAGAAGGAATAGAGCTGAATGATAGTTTTTCCAAAGACAGCATGTAAATTAGGAGAACTGCCTGAGGTGGTTGTTGTTTAGTCGTTTAGTTGTGTCCGACTCTTCGTGACCCCATGGACCAGAGCACTCCAGGCACTCCTGTCTTTCACTGCCTCCCGCAGTTTGGTCAAACACATGCTGGTAGCTTCGAGAACACTGTCCAACCATCTCATCCTCCGTCGTCCCCTTCTCCTTGTGCCCTCCATCTTTCCCAACATCAGGGTCTTTCCCAGGGAATCTTCTGTTTTCATGAGGTGGCCAAAGTATTGGAGCCTCAGCTTCACAATCTGTCCTTCCAGTGAGCACTCAGGGCTGATTTCCTTTAGAATGGAGAGGTTTGATCTTCTTGCAGTCCATGGGACTCTCAAGAGTCTCCTCCAGCACCATAATTCAAAAGCATCAATTCTTCAGCGATCAGCCTTCTGTATAGTCCAGCTCTCACTTCCATACATCACTACTGGGAAAACCATAGCTTTAACTATACGGACCTTTGTTGGCAAGGTGATGTCTCTGCTTTTTAAGATGCTGTCTAGGTTTGTCATGGCTTGTAGGCTGGTTGTGAGATATATTCAGGAGAAGGCTAAGGAGTAAAGCTTACAAAAATCTGGAGTCCTTAAGACTCCATGGTGCCTTATATGTCTCCTTCCAGCAACTCCTGCAGCCAAACTGGTGCCAAACGTATTGCTCTGCTTTCCTTTGGAACATGGTCTGTGAAGCTGTGAGAGGGGGGTCTTGTCATCTGGGCAGCCCAGGACCTCCATACACACTGCCCAAGCTTGCACCCCAGGGAGGTCACTTTGGTGCTGCTAACACAGCGCTTTGACTTCACCTTCGAAGGCGCACTCCATTGTTTGCTGAGACAGATGGATGCCAACAACAACAAGCCTAGTTGCTAAATACAAGGCTGCGTTATTACCTTCTAATCATTTGTGTTAAGCTCACAGCTGAAGTCACTATAAAAGAGTGGATTTTCTCCAGTGCCTTCAGTGCATGCCTGTGGCTGCAAACTTACACACACTTGCTTGGGAAATAATCCCTCTGAAACCAGTGGGACTTGGTTCTGACTGTAAGCATGCGTAAGATTAGGTTGAATGTCTGGGAAAGGGTTTCTGATGTTTGTGAGTGATTGAATGTCTGGAACTGACTGTTAGCTTGTTTAGATAGCATTCATGTAGTGTTTAATGATATGGTCATCATGGGTATAATATCAGAAGAACAGAAAGTCCCCATGATGTAAAACCTTTTAGTATCCCAATACAGCCAATAGGCAATCTGTGTGTATTGCAGGTCACAGGTACAAAGTACAAAATTTGGTATTCTGAGAATTATATATATTAAAAAGAAAGCAGTTTGCTTATGATTTCAGTGGCAGAATGTGGGCAATTCTAATTGAAATCCCTAAAGCAGGTTGGTATCTAGGAATTCAAAATATTTTCCCAGCACTGTCTGGGAGAGGCTCCTTTGACTTTGCTTAGCACAATGGCTAATCTATACAGATTTATTAGAGACTCCATGTGAATGAGCAATAGGATCACTCTCTGCCTTAGAATAAATGTGCATTTCCTTCCAGGTGAATGGCATGAAGTGAATTCTAATTGAATTCACTAGTATATTTCCTGAAGTGGGTTTAACCTGGATTAACCAAAATAGCTAGTCTGTTGTACTGTATGACTAGGAGACGAGTTCTGTTTGCTTTGAAATGCTGTTCTCAGCTGTAATCTGCATGGACAGTGTCATTCAAGGCCTTTGTTCTGTGTGGGAGGGTTATTCTGGCAAAATGTGTCATCTTGTGGGAGATGGTTCGGCCCCAAAGGGGATGACTTTGGATTGTGTTAGGTAGGGAATTGTGAGGAAATTGGATCCCCCCTTTTTATGCTGTTGATGTCCTGTGTGTAGATAGAACAGCCTTCTCAAAAGAGCTTCTCTTCCCGACTTTTGCTGCTTCAGCTCTACATAGCTCTCTCCTTACAGTAACAATCTTTGTTACTCATTTTTTTGGCTATTGAATTTCACCACCCACACATTTTAAATGTGTTAAAAGATATTTATAGTGAAGTCGCTCAACAATATAGTAGAAAAGTTGTTGCAGTGGAATGCAGGCTGTGGCTTTCCGAACAGAAACAAGGAACCAGTAGCATCCAGAAGGTCAGTTCTGATTATTTTGCCTTTAAATCTCTGGAAGGGAAAAAGTGCAATTCAACTCACCCACCTGCCCATTGAATGGGAGGGCAGGAAATAAAGTAAGAAGGTGGGAGACAGGGATTTTTGTTGTTGAGGTTGAGCTGGTTTGGGAATGACCTTCACAATTTGGATAAACATCCTCCTTACTGGTGTGTGCAGGAATTTGTTGTGTGATATTGAAAAACTTTTATGGTTTGGCAGCATTTAGCATTTGTAGGGGGTGTTGAGGACTGAGGTGACAGGGGGTGGAACTTTGGGTTTGGAAGTTTTTAAGGTGGTGCTATGTGAGGGCAGGAACTGTATGTAGAATGACAGTTTTACAAACCAATTACCGGTAGAAGCATAATTCATATTCCTCTGCCCTCTCCCCCGCCCCCATTGCTGACCATTGAGCAGAACCTTTCTGTAATCATTTGGACTCCCCACCCCCCAATATATGAATTATGAGGTTCAACAACCTGTGTGGCTTTTAAAATCTGATATTCCTGGAGCAGAAGTAAAAGCAGGGAAACAGGGAAAACAAGTTCCACCAAATAGGTCTTTTAAACATTTAAATAATCTTCATTTATCTGTAAAGCATGTCTTCAAGAAAGAGTAAGCTGAGTTGTTCTAAATATAATTTTAGATAAAGATGCCTTTTTAATTGTCCTTTAATTCCTAATTGAAATGAATTGGATAGTTTTTAATTGCTCAGTTCAACACGTAGTCTGGACTAGTCAGACAACGTAAGCTAAGTGATTGCTTCAATGTCAATGTAAACTCCAGGTTGGAATTTTGTATTGCAAGTTCATGCTTCAGGTAGCTTGAGTATGATTTCATTGCAAACAGTGAATATTGCTTGTTTGAGCGTACAAAGAAGCATGTTAGGCCTTTTAAATCTCTATCAGTTGCTGAACTAACACTGAGTGATCTGTCTTGAATGATATTTGTTTTATATACAGGCCCTTTTCAATATATATATTTTTACGTTTGTTGTGCTTGTTGTCTTTGAAATAAAAATAATGGTTTGTTTGTGCCATTCTGAGTAATTGCAATGCTACTTTGTTTACAGTGGTTATGTGGCAGGGAGAGAACGTGTGTGAATTCATCTTTGTTGCCAGCAGCCAGGTTAATGGAGGATGTTATCTAATTGTGTTCCTGGCTTCAGACAAGCCAGTTCAGGTTTGGCTGTGGTGGGAAGAGGGCTGGGGATAATGGAGCCCTGCTTGGAAGCATGTATATGTCCTTAAAATATGCATTTGAAACCCTTTGTGTAGGGGTGGGAGAACCATTTGGGGAGGGATTATGAATTAAGTCCCCCCACAGCATTTCTATTCTTGAATACCCCACCAGAAGCAGTTTTTCTTAAAAAAGCCATCAGGTCTTCATTACATGCAGTTGTATGGAACACATTGCTTGCACCTGAGAAAGAAACAAGACCAAGTGAGTTGACCTGCCTGCTATGTGATTCTGGGGGGAAATCAATCATACCCCATGCACAATGTTTGGTAAATGGGCGAGATGGGCTGACCATGCAGATCAATTGAGTACTATCATCGCAGAACCAGGATTGCTTCCAGTACATGGTTGAATGTGTACGCTTGGTGGCAAAGTCAAGATTTGCTGTTATGCAATCTGTGCCGTGGTCTTTGATGTTAGTCTCTTCGCTTAAAACAAAAACTCAATACTGACTTCATAGGGTTAAGGCAGAAATAAAGAGTCTGAACTTCTAGTATGCAATTCGCACTTAGCCTCTCTTGATTCTTTGGCTTGCTCTCAGTTTCTTCTGTTTTCCTTTTATGGTGACAGGACTGCCACATTTTATCTCCTCACTTGTCCCCTTGCCCTCTTAGCACATCACAAAGGCTTTCTTATCACTTCAATAGGTGCAGACTGCTCTGAATGTTGAGTGTGCTGGTTTTGCAGCATGTCTGTGTGCTGATACCATAATATGGGACTGTGG